ATGAAGGCAAGAAGGGCCCGCGAGTCCCAGGAGCAGACTACACTGCGACTATCACAGGTCGTTCAAGGCAGCGCCCTCACGCAGTCTTCGCAGTCACAAGAGGGGCGTGTCACCTGCTGGGCTGGGAGAGCTGCCTACAGGGCTTCCTTGAGATCAAGGCTCAAGAATGCAGAACGGTCGAGAATGAACGCACAGGCTGCAGCAACCGCCTTTGCATCTCGGGCTTCCGAGACTCATCATCTTTGTAACGAAAGAAACGCTGCTGCCACTGCGAAATCAAGGGCAATAGAGACACTTGACCGCAGGCGCGTCCGTCAATCCAGGGATGCTGTTGCAACAGCGAGCGCTAGGGCTGCTGAGAGGCCGCTCCGTAGGTTTGTGCGAAATTCTACGAATGCTGCCACCACTGCCAGGTCGAGGGCAGCTGAAACATTTGACCGCAAGCGCGCCCGTTAATCCAGGCATGCTCCTGCAACAGCTAGGTCGAGGGAATCCGAGAAAGAGCTGCAGCGGGCAACCTATAATGCCTGCACCGACTTCTGATGCCAGAAACTCCGAGGGCCCACAGACAAGGGCAAACAGACCAAGGGTTGCTACAAACATGGCCGATGTGCGCTTATCTCAAACTCCCCAAGCTCGCCGCATACGCCTCGACGGCGACATTCAGCGCCTTGCGGCCGCCCGTGGTATTGCCTATCCCAGTAGCTCTTTTTGGTCTTTCTTGGCTTTCAATTACGACCCTGGCATTAACTTAACTACGCGTGACAACATCAATGTAGGGTCCCTGACCCGCGTTTGCCAATTCTGCAACGCCCGCAAATGGGCCGGGGATCCTGCCGGTCTGTGCTGCTCCTCCGGCAAAATTCGACTGTCTATGTCTAAATTCCTTCACTTGTACTTTATTGCAGAAAACAACCTACAGGCCAAAACCTGGATTGGTATTTTGCCGCCGTCGGGAAGAGTATCTCGCAGGGACGTCATACTACTACTACAGGCCATGCTTCACGAGTTTAACAGCTACATTCGAAGTTTCAAATATACTTTGGAATATGCTCCATTTCCTTCCTTCAGAATTGTCATTGATGCCGACAAACGGCTACAATGCTCCTGCGTGCAAAGAAGTGGCCGCTATTATACATGGGGAGCAAGATTGCACTAGCGATATTGTCCTCAAATCAAGAGGCGGCGATCTTCCCAGGATTTCAGAGACCCATCGATCATATGACACATTGTAGTACCCTTTACTTTTCCCTTATGGTAACGATGGCTACCACTTCGGCATTCCCCTTTATGCTCCGGGTGGCCAACCTACAACCTCTTCCAAAGCCTTATCGTGCAAGGCCTTCTATTCATACCGTTTCATGGTTAGGGGTGGAGACTTCAACCTGCTTTATAGATGAAGGGAGCTTTTCCACCAGTTTCCGGTTGACATGGCCGCTAAGATGGAATCGGAGGGGCTTTGTTTTATACGGAATCATCAGAAACATCTGCGCTCAGACTCCTACGTACACTTACGCGACAGCCTTCGAAATGAATTCAATCTCCACGACAGAGAGAAGCTGTGCATTTTTCCCTTTACCTACACTGTCATGACATTATTTATGGACTTAATAGTGAAGTGGTGAGTCCTACAGTGAAAAAGCAACCATTATTTTACATTGCCAGAATTAAAAATCATGACCAATTATGAACGGGTGTCAGTCTTCAGGTAAGCACAGAGCAGCAACACAGCAGCCACCTATTGCAACCGGTTGCCCTTGATCTCATTGATTTTGCTACCAGTGAGATTCCCGGCCTAAAAGTGACCTCAAAAACTGCGGATACGTGCGTAAGTTCAATAATTCAAACCCCAAAGCAATTTAACTACATAAACCCCCGAGCAACGCCGGGCTTTACTGATAGTTAAATATAAAACCCTCTCGATTTTCAACTGTTCACACTGCTTGTTTTGTCTATATATGTTATAGTTTCTCTGTGTTGGAGAAATAATGACGATTATATACATATTTGTATATAATCTCTTTATATAAATTGGGAATATCCTCTCTTTCCAAGAATTAAGAGTCGAAATTTGATCAGGGCACGATATTTAATAAATCTAATTAGCTAGCTATAAGTCAAATAATACCTGTCATTCTGTCAGTCGGTAAATCATGTGTATCTATCTGTACATATGGGGAATTGTCAGTAAGTAGGTTACAGACTACATCGGAATAAATTTTACTTTCGGTGGAAAAACGTAAATGCGATTTTTCTATACCATTAAGTTAAACATTCTTTCTCACAGTCTATGAAAGTATAGCGTTTTGCCTGAGGTTGTAGTGAGGTCATGGGTTGATTGATTTGTTTTTTGCATGCTTTATAAAGCTTTTTTGCTGAAAAATGTTTTGAATGTTTTTGCGAGCTGAAAATGCATAAAAAATATATTGAGCTTAACGATGATTTTTTTTAGGATATAAGTGATTTTTTTTATATAGTAATGGCAAAAACAAGTGGTAAATTTCCTTATTCCTAAAATATAGATGACAAATAGATGTGCTATGAAGTCATATTTTAACGAACCAATCAGAAATGTTTCCGACAAGAATACGACTCCGTAGCCTGGTGGGAGACAAGATCTATTCTTACAGACAAGATCTATTCTCGAAAACTATTTTGAATCCAAATTCTGAACCGATTTTATTTTTTACGAAGGCATAAATATCTAAACAATAAAGGAATTAACAAATTTCCGATTCTGTTGTCATTCCAAAATACACAAGAGGAAACTTCTCCTCATATGGGAGTCCCACCCACTCTCATATAGACACAAACACATGGATATATATCCGTCTTTCTACTATTTACACATAATGCATTGACATCTTAATACATACAGGTTTTATCATATACCGGTTATAACAGAAAAATTGTCCAAACCATTGTCCATCTAACGAAATATTTAATATCTAAAAATAAGACACTAAACTAAGTGAGTTTCTTTTTTCCAGGATTTCAGATAAGACGTTTAGCCATATTGAAACCATTTGTCATAAGAATCACTGAAAACCCCTTTCAGTTATTCAGCTAGAAAGAGAACAGCTTAGAATCGTTTTGTCAGTCCCACTATCTTCCCGACTCAGCAGTGGCGAGATGAAAAAGATCATTCAAGCCTTAATATATATATATATATATATATATATATATATATATATATATATATATATATATATAGGTATTTAGGTATATATATATATATATATATATATATATATATATATATATATATATATATATATATATATATTCTTTGTATTTAGCAGAATACATATATGTATATATATTATATAAATCTATATTTTGTGTATTTAGGCAGAATATATATATATATATATATATATATATATATATATATATATATATATATATATATATATATATATATGTGTGTGTGTGTGTGTGTGTGTGTGTGTGTGTGTGTGTATTTTATATATTTATGCAGAAAAAAGTTTTTTTTTTTTATTTCCAATCTACATAGGAATCCCCGCAAAAACTTCCCCCTCTCCTCAAATGTATGATGGGATTATTTCATGGACAATAAGATCAGAGGCCACTTCTCGGTCTCAAGTGACGTAAGACTGTTGTTTCTAGTCTTAAAGTTAGAATGCTTCGATCGCTTGTCTGTATCTCTTTTTGTGCGTTAATACAATTCTTAGTTTATGAATATTTTTTCTTATTACTGTTGCTTTGTCTTGTTATTGATGTTTTGCCTTGTTACTGTTGTTTTGCCTTGCATATATTGTTTGCCTAATATTATTTTTGCCGCGTTCTTATCTTTTCTTCCTCTTGTTATTGCTTAATGAAAACTATGAAACTAGGAAACTTCTACCAATTACATTTAACCATGTCCAATTACTCTACAAATGTTCTTTAAATCAACAACCGGCATTTTGTGTCGATCGATTTTAATGATCGACTCTTCCAAATTACGAATAATCCTTCACAGACAAGGACAAAATTCGACCAGAAATTGTCTGATGTTTGAAAGACAAGTACAAGAAATATAGTCCAAGCTTTCGACTTCAGACTAACTGGTGAGTTTCGTAGAATTATTGGTTGTTGTGGCGTAGGAAATAGGTGTTGTGACGTAAGCAAGTTGTGTTGTGCCGTGGGCATGGTGTGTTGTGACGTCGGCAATTTGTGGCTTCGAACTCACTATAAAAGACAAATGAATATGAATGTGTGAATATATTTGCTCCCACGGAGGATGTTTATCTGTAAAAAAGGCAAAAGGTCTTACATAGGATGCACATGAACAACACACTCAAGGGAGAGAAACCAGCCATTTATCAGACCATGTTCCATCAAACAATACATGGATAAGTAGCATAAGGATCATTGTAACGTTAGACAACTACTCACAAACTCTAGCAAAATACTAGCGAAATTAAATAGTAAAATCATACCTATAATCATTGAAACAATATTCATACAGCTGAAACAATCATCAATAAATAAAAGCAAAATAACTAAAGAGCTCTCCACTTCAAATGTATATAGAAAAAATACGTGACAACTAGCCTACATCACAATACTCTTTGTGTGGCACCCTGCATTATTAGAAAAAAAACTAAAGAAAAGAAATATTCATAGAAATATGATTTAATTTTTTTTATTCTGTTTATTAACCAGTTGTTAGTTTTTTAGACGAAGAATAATTGAGTTTCGAGAATAATTCTCTAATTGTACTTAGGCGATCCTAAGGGAAGAAAAAAAAGAAGGAAAAAAGAAAAAGAAAATGAGTAATGCAAAAGGCTGGTCATTAGCGAAAACAGGTGTCAAGAGGCCAACGCGCCCGACCGAATTTCAAGTGACAATGGAGATTGTTATTTGGGAGAATAGAATTAAAGGTAATTAAAAGAAAGAAAGAAAACAGGCTTGGTAAAAGTGTACGAACATATGTACGATTGATAAAAATGTCGGTCAAAGCATCTGGCCTACTTTTGTGTAGAAGACTCATTATCAATTCGGAGAAATGGGATTTTTTAGAACAATGGAAAACGAAATATTAATCGGAGAAAGGTGTCTTTTGGGATGAGGAGGTGACCGCTGGAATTGTATACAGATTCTGACCTGTTAAAAATTAGAACCCCCACGATGATGAAGTGAAGACATTTTCAATTCAGATAATTAAGATTTTTGACTATCAGGTCTGAGCAAAAACAAAGAGGTGAAAAACGATTGTTCTTGGCTCACAGAGAGCGCCAGTAAGACGGAGAAAATTCTTCCTGACGTCACATCTAATTAGCGGAAGGCTGTTTTGACAGAGACCAGGAAGGTGAGAAAGGCCGAGATTGTCATTTTTCATACGTGCGAAAAAGGCCAAATTAGATTTTGTTTTTTTTAGCAAGATGTTCTTTCCCAGGACAACGACAGGATAAGCCACGCCCGATTGGAGACGTCACGAAGTACGGGAGACGCCCAACCAGAATCTCATTGGCCGAAAGCGGTCACGTGATATGCGAGAAAGAGGAGAAAGGACGCTCGATCAAGACCCATTGGTCGAAAACGGTTACCTGACATACGAGAGACCGGGAGAGATGGGTATGCGCCTCCCCACCAGAGGCACTGTGAGGAAGTAGGGGTGAAAATAAGAGCGATAATGGGAAATCAGAAGTAATGCGACTTTTGGAATTATCGAGAAAACCCTGACGCCGACAGACCCACCCCAGTTTGTTGCGGCGTCAATAAAAGCAGGACCCCAGTCGACAGAAATCAGTTGCAGCTGTACCGCGGGCAGCGAGGGAGCTTGAACGCGGGCATCGGGCCCGGTTCATTCGCCCCTTTGCGGGCAAGAGAATCCTAAGACATGAAATCCTTCCAGCCCAAGTCGAAGAAGAAGAAGATTGCTCGAAAGCCGCAGAGAAGTTGCAGCCAAGTCGAAGACAAGAAGAAGAGCTGCAGGCCAGACAGGCCGAAGAATTGCAGGCCAAACAGAGAGCTGAGTTCAGCCCCGGACGGCAGCGAGAAGGGTCCACCTCAGAAGACAGGCCGAAGAATTGCAGGCCAGACAAGAAGAAGAGCTGCAGGCCAGACAGGCAGTAAAGTCGCAGGCCAAACAAGCAGATGAGTTCAGCCCCGGACGGCAGCGAGAAGGGTCCACCTCAGACGGCAGAGAGA